TATTATATATAACTAAATAATAAAACATAATAGCAAAAAGAAAAGAACATTTGAAAAATAAAATAGTCCATCAATAGAATACAGAAATGCCTTGCATTAATGCTTCCAGAATCAAGGCACTTTGGAAAATCCAAGTGGTTGTAACATTGTAGAAGGCCATCAGTGTTGGGGTTCTCATTGCCCTGGAGATTAAGGGGAGGGGAGACCCTACAAGGAACACCCATCACCACGTCCCCTAACAGGTGATAGGAACCCTAAGCAGGCACTCTTAAAATTGTGATGAATATAGAGACAAGTGACCAGAACTTTGAATTCTTGCTTTTCACATTGCCTGCTTTTTCTGAATTACACTATGTATCCCTAATATTAGCCATTACAGGTATTCCTTGAATTTCAACAGTTCATTTAGTGACGGTTCAAAGTTACAACGGCAATGAAAAAACCGACTTATGACCATTTTTCACACTTAAGACTGTTGCAGCATCCCCATGTTCACATGATAAAAATTCAGCCGCTTGGCAACTGATTCATATTTATGACTGCAGTGTCCTGGGGGTCATGTGATCACCTTTTGGGACCTTCTGACAAGCAAAGTCAATGGAGAAGCTAGATTCACAACCATGGGATTAACTTAACCACTGCAGTGATTCACTTAACAACAGGTTGTAAAATGGGGCAAAATTCACTTAACTGTTTTGCTTAGCAATAGAAATTTTGGGCCCAATTGTGGTCATAAGTCAAGGACCACCTGTAGCCTTCATACTTTCTAAGTTTCCTTTCCATAGAAAGAGTCAAAAAAATTAAATAAGGAGCTGAAAAAAGATTCTGAACTTTGTTACTTTGTACTTTGCAGCCAGAGAACTACTTGTACGGAAATGGAAAGATATATCAATCTCCACAACAGAAGAATGGATGGAAAAAGTGATGTAGCTAGAAAAAAAATAAAAAAAAATACTGCTTTAATTACATATCAACCTTAGTTTCTACTTAGAAACTGCTTCTGGACTTTGTACTCAAGATAGAAAAAAAAATGAACTACTGATGCTTGATTTTGTTTATTAGATTAATTTGTTTTTATAGACATGGCTAATAATTTCTAAATATGTAAATGTAAAAAGTTGAGGCTGTAATTTTATTTTGTATTTTACTGTGCTGAAGTCAATGCTTTTTTTTTCTCCTTTCTCCTGCACTTCCTTCCCATTCTTCTGCTTCTCCATTTCCCTTTCTTTATTTTCATTTGTACTTTTCACTATTATAATTTCAATAAAATTTATCTAAAAAAAGAGGAAAGAGTCAAAAACAGGATTCTGTGGTGGGGCTAAAGCAGTCTATTCCACTTCAGCATTGGTACACCAGGATACAAAAAAGATGCTGAGGCCCCAGAAAGAATGCAGAGAGGAACAAAGATAATAAGGGCTCTGAAGTCAAACCATTCAGTGAATGGCTAAGGGAACTCGGTATGCTTAGCCTAACAAAGACAAGGCTGAGGGGAGACACAACAGCCATCTTCCAATACTTGAAGGGCTGTCATAGGGGAAAGGGCATCAATTTACACTCTGTAGCTCCTGAGGGCAGGACAAGAAGCAAGGGGTGGAAGCTCATCAGGAGATCCAATCTAGAAATAAGGAAAATTTTCTGACAATGAGAACAATTAATTAATGGAATGCCCTGCCTCCCCAAGTTGTGAGTGCTTCATCACTGGAGGCTTCCAATAATAGACTGGACAACCATTTGTTCGGGACGGTATAAGGACTCCTGCCTTGGGCAGAGGATTGGACTAGAAGACCTCCAAGGTCCCTTCCAGCCCTATGATTCTATGATCTCAACTTCCTGCCTGACCTGTAAGAGTTTGCTGGCTGGCTGCTGATGCTTCTCCTCTGTTTCCTGGATGAGACTGTCAAGAGAGCACAGATCCTCCATGTACTTGGCCAAACGCTTCTCCTTCATTGTCATAACATCCTTCTCTGTTTCTTCCATGCTAGCCAACAGAAGTTTCTCCTGTCCTTCTAACCAGAGTTGTAGTTCTCTGAATTCAGCCATTGCTTTTTTTCTCTCTTTTTCGATGTGGTCCTAGAACAAGAAGACAGAAAGAGCAAAAGGCATATTTTTATTTTATTTTTACTTAATTATATTTATTTTTATTATAATAATATTTAAATTGATTCCCTGAAGAGTCCTGAAATGAGATGGGAGAATTTCCTAGGGAGAAAAAAAACATTTTGACATCAACAAGCACAGGGGGAAAGGTTTCCGTTTAAATGTTGTCTCATGAAAATTTCCTTGACAATCGGGGATTCAAAAAAAGTAGCCAAAAAATGTTTGATTTCACATTTTTTTCAATACGATGAAATATGGTTTGCATTAATCTATTAAGCAAACCAAACCCAGTGTATAAAACATGGCTCATAGGTGCCCTTTACATCACTGTGATTTATTCAGCCAATGGTGACATCCTAGTCAAAAATACAGTCCCCAGGTTAAGAACAAGTTGTATGCCCTAACACTGTCTTTAACTTGAATTTTATTTAAGTCAGAACTTGTACTTACAAACAGGCTGCCTATTATTAGCTCAGAAGCTCCTCATCATTGGATCAATACTTACAAGCATCTCCTGAACTCTTTGCTCTGTGTCTGTTTTGTATTTAGCTATTTTTTCTTTCTCCTTCTTCTGAGCCTTCAGGCAATCCCCAACATTGATCTGAAGAGAAAATACAAGATTTGAGTTTCTTTTTCGAAAAGGATTACATCTGAGGGAAGACCCAGTTAGAAGATATATACAACCGTCATAAATACATGGTAGTTGCCAAGCATCCACATTTTGATCATGTGACCACAGGAATGCAGCAACAATCGTAAATGTAAAAAATGGTTGTAAGTCACTTTTTCCATTGCCGTTGTAACTTCGAACAGTCACTAAATGAATGGTTCTAAGTCGAGGACTACCTGTAATGGCAGGAAAGTGAGCTGCCTGAGTCTCCTGCTTGCAGTCATCCGAGAAACATCACTGAGAAACAAAAGCTTGGGCTGAGGTGACTTTGGCCTGACCCACCAGGAGTGTTTTTCAGGGTCTGCACTCAAGACTTTGGAGGACTCTATGATGATCTTGCTCTATAGCAAATGTGGAAAGTGAGCTGGCAAAGGGTGCCTATTTCTCCCTACAGGCAATTTCCATTGGTAAGCAAGGGATTAAGTCAGCCATCCCAACCTTTCAGCAGGGTGTGTGTGTGTGTGTGCAGACCACACCCCAGGGGCTGGAGACCCCCTCATTTAAGTAAGGTTTTGTCCCATTTTACAAACTTTCTTGCCACAGTTGTTAATTGAACCACTACAGTTGTTAAGTTAGTCACAGCAAACCTGGCTTCCCTATTGACTTTGCTTATCCAAAAGGTGATGGCATGATCCCGAGACACCGCAGCCATCATAAATACATGCCAGTTGCCAAGCATCCAAATTTTTATCAGTGACCACAGGGACGCTCCAATGGTCATAAGTATGAAAACAGTCACCTCAATGAACGGTTGTAAGTCGAGAACTACCTGTACACCAGTCTTCAAAAAAATTGCAGGCACGGAGGCAAGGGAGTGGGAGAAAGCAGAAGGAAGCAAGTAAACGAATCCAAGGATTGCCAGTGCTAACACTGGATGGCCCTCCGCAGGGATTCCTCCTGGCGGATTCCTACCTGGTACTCCTGGAGAGCCTCCTCCGCCGGGATCACCGAGTGACCCCTGTGCTCTTTGGATCGGTCGCAGACCAAGCAGATGAGGGTCTCGTGGTCCTTACAAAAGAGCTTGAGGGGCTCCCGGTGCTTCGGGCAGAAGCTCCCTCCGTCCTCGCCCCAAGGGCCTCCACACCGCCTGGCCACTTCCAGCACCCGCGCCAGCTGCCTGTTGGGCAGGACGTTGCGGGGCCCGAAGGTCTGTCTGCACTGGGGGCAGGAAGCCTCCGATTCCGACGTCCCCCAACTGCGGGTCAGGCAGCCCCGGCAGAAGTTGTGGCCGCACTCCGGGATGAGCACGGGGTCCTGGAAATACTCCAGGCAGATGGAGCAGGTGGCTTCTTCCAGGAAATCCGGCAAGGACGCTGCGGCCGCCATCGCTGCCTCCTTCGCCGACAGAAGGAAAGAGACAGCTACTTTCGCACTCTTGCAAATCAGGCTTTGGGCTCTGCCCAGATGGGAAACCGAGATGAATGGTTGTTGCTGTCGCGGTCAGCTTCGGTGGCTTCTTAAAGGAGAACGACAGTATTTTAAAAAGAACAAATCGGAGAGAAGCAAACATCCATGGGACGGACCCCAGTGTGAGAAGGATCTATAAATCAGTATAAAATGTATTAGAACTGTTGTATAAGAAATATTGACTAACCTAAGCTCTAATAAAGCTATTAATAGCTGCAGTGCTTTTTCTGTATTAAAACAAAAACAAAAAAGGTGCAGGAAGTTACGCACAGCTGCGGCGGACTGGCGGAAGCCCCTAGCACGCCGCATCCGGCTCCTATCTAGAGCCCTTTACGGAGCGTGGAGCCAACCAGGAGGAAGGCAGCCTGGGTCACTATGGAAGGGAGAAGCAGAAGACTATCTTGCAGAATATGGAATATGTAGAATGTGGAATGGGATCATTTGCTGGATGGAAATCTTCACGTTAGACCAATGAGGTTCCTTAAGGCAAAAGATGGTTAGAAAGAGTAATTAGTAGTCTCAGGTCAACCTAGGACAGGTGGATCCATGGGGTGGGGGTGGGGAAATCTGGTGGGTGGAGAACATCTTATAGGCCTTTTGTTCAAGAGTTTTTTGGGGAGGCTTCCTTAGTCACAACAGGGTGCCAAAGGAAAAATGGACACTCCCAAGCCCCTTCTTTTATCTTGCCTTTTCAGTGGTGGCACCTCATTTATGGAATGCCCTTCACAAAGAACCTCAATTGGCACCAACAGTAGCCTCATTTTGGCACCAGGTGAAGGAAGGAAGGAAGGCACCACTAATATGGCTGAGGCTATTGTAGTACTATTAAACAGATTTAGGGCATGGAAACTTCAAAAACCTAATTTACAGAACATTCACATCTAAATCTTTAATATCTCATATTTTTGTTTCAGTAAAACTTTCAATCTAGGAAGGTGTAACATTTTATCTAGTGTGTTAAAGGGAAGTACTGTATAACAATATCCCATTATCCAATTTTTTAAAGTCCCTATTCTAGCTAATAAAATAACTGAAAACATTTCTCTCTATTTTGCTGTAGCATCCTTTTTTACACTAATTGACTCTGAGCTAATAATTCTGTTCCTGAATGTTCGGAATGGACTGAAAATAGGATTATTTTTTATTAGATCAATTCATCACAATCTACATAAAAGGAACTAAATTCTGTTCAGTTGTGATCAACATTCAAAAGCACTATGTTTGAATTTAGCCTGGTGGTTTATTTTTATTTCCTCTTCTTTGTCTCCATTTATCTGATGAAAATGTTCGATTAGCATTCTTGGACCGGTAGCTATAAATAAAAGAAACTTTAAATCTGTAAAGGCCATGGCAAGCCACCATCATCATGCCAAGAAAACTCCTTGGAAGCGTCCATGATATCACCAGGATTCAAACTCGACTCAATGGAGAAGTTTATTGTTTGTACTTCTGCAACCCCATTCAGTGATTTGTATGTGGGCCTGTGAGAGAGCTTATTTCATTTCAAGGAATTATTATCATCATTAGATTCGATTATTACTACTATTAAACATCCATGCAAAAAGAGGTGGGTCTCAGCACAAAGAAACAAAATATTTATTTATTTATTTATTTATTTTATTTATTTAATTGAATTTTTACCCCGCCCTTCTCCTTGCGGACTCAGGGCGGCTGACAGCCTGATAAAAACAAATACAAAAAATACCCCAATACTATCGTTAAAAAACATAATTAAAATGAAATATTTAGATTTGGCCTTTGTAATTTAAAATTGTTTTTAAAATCCCGCTAAAAATTACCCCTTAGGCCAGTCCTGCTAGTTGAAATAGCCATGTCTTAAGGGCGCGGCGGAAGGAAGGGAGATCCGGGATCACCCGGATCTCTGGGGGTAGTTCATTCCAGAGGGTGGGAGCTCCCACCGAGAAGGCCCTCCCCCTGGGGGTCGCCAGCCGGCACTGGCTGACGGCACCCTGAGGAGACCCACTCTGTGGGAGCGTACCGGCCGATGGGAGGTAATCTGAGGCAGAAGGCGGTCTCGGAGATATCCAGGTCCGATGCCATGGAGCGCTTTGAAGGTGATAATCAGCACCTTGAAGCGCACCCGGAAAGCCACCGGCAGCCAGTGCAGCTCGCGCAGCAACGGCGTTACATGGGAGCGACGAGTCCCTCCCAACACCGCCCGCGCGGCCGCATTCTGGACTAACTGGAGCCTCCGAGTGCTCCTCAAGGGAAGCCCCATGTAGAGAGCATTGCAGTAGTCCAGGCGGGAGGTGACGAGGGCATGGGTGACTGTGCGCAAGGCGTCCCGGTCCAGAAAAGGCCGCAACTGGTAGATCANGCCGAGGCGCCGGCAGCCACAGCCACTCGGTCTTGGAAGGGTTGAGCCTGAGTCTGTTCCTCCCCATCCAGACCCTTACGGCCTCCAGGCATCGGGCCATCACGTCAAGGGCATCATTGGGGTGGCCTGGGGTGGAAATGTACAGCTGAGTATCATCAGCGTACTGATGGAAGTCCACCCCAAAGCCACGAATGATCTTTTAAACATGTTTAAAATGCACCTCCCCCGACCAGAATACAGTTTAAGCACCATCAAAATTACAAATGAAAACTCCCAACAGTTAAAATTACTGTTTTTGTTTTACTGCCATAAAAGCCATGAAATCCATAACAGCCACAATCTATTTACAGCCAGAGTAAATAAAAATAACCCACAAATGATACTATCCTAATCCTCTAAACCCGTAATAATTTCCATAGCAGTGGCTCTTTATTGGCACAAAAATGTCACAAAGAAATGGGTGGATTGCACTTGAAGACGGGATGAAATTGATTGCAGACCCTGAAAACCCAGGAGCTCGTACCTCCCATTCAGGTCAACAAGTCTTTTCCTCTCTTCTAACCATGCTTACAAGCCCAGGTAACCTTACCTGAACTAAGTTTGGCTGGGCAAAGCAAACTAGGTTTGTTTAGAGGTGCTATGGATTGGCAAAGGCTGGGTGTCAAGTCCTTCAACCTTGCAGGACTAACTTTCCAAGACAGACCCGCAGCAGAATTTCCTCTAAAATTCACTTTTGGCCTCTCCTTTCCCATAGCTCCACCCACATTTCCTCCTTCCCTCCTCCCCCCACAAAATTGGGAGGATCCTTCCCATTGCTAGCCAATCCCATCTCCCCATGGATTCTCACAGACCCCTCTTTCAAAGGCCCTGCTCCCCAGAAGCGGGGAGATGCCGCAAAGCAGGAACAACCCTAGAGGGAGTCAGCAAAGGCCTAAAGGATGGAAGCCCCACCCCTTATTTATATATGGGTAGAAGGCGGGTCTGGCCGCCATCTTGATGTGGTTGACCTGTCTTGGTGTAATCCTCATCCCTTTAAGAGTCTGCTAGATCAGTGACTCTCAATTAGGGGTCTGTGCAGTGGTGGGATTCAAATATGTGAACAACTGGTTCTCTGTGTGGATGCCGCTTCCGGAAATCCATTCTGGGCCTGGGCAACAAAAAATTAGCTACCCGTTCTGCCAAACTGGTGCAAACTGGCTGAATCCCACCAATGGGTCTGCGGAAGTCAAATAAATCAGCATTTTAACATTTTTGTTTTAAATGTATGTAGACATTACAAAGTGTCTTATGACAGATTTTCACACTGATGACCATTGCAGCACCCTCTTGATTATTAGATCAAAATTCAGCCACTTGGCAATTGGTTCATATTTGTTAGATCGCGCAGGCAGTAAGACACGAGTCGAGTGACAGTCAGCTCTCGGTTTATTGGCAAGGCATCAAGTAAATCCGGACTGGCTCTCTGGGCCAGGGGAGCCCTCTTTTATGGGATTCCCCTGGCTTGTAATCACACAATTCCATTGGCTGGTAAGATCCTGTTGCTAGTTAGCCAACCAGCAACGGGCATGAAACTGTATGCAGATGGAGAAGGCAATCACCCTTAATGGGCGATCAATGGTGAAGGGCAATCACCCTTAATGGGTGATCAGGATATGCATAGGGGATTAAGGGGGGGGGAATACAAAGAACACAACACCCCTCCCCTCAAAGTTCTTGCTATCGTCCTTGGTGAATAGTGGTTACATAGTCCTTCAGATATGTGGGAGGCCGATGCCCTCGCGCTGAT